TGTATTCAAGTCAATAGTTTTAATTATAAAAATTCAAGTAGGTGACGTGGTACATATTCTCTCTCAGGTCAATGCCTTGTGAAAAGTCATTTACACTCTGGTGGATGGTGAATATTTTTAACCCAGAGTTCAAGTAAGTATATGATCCTCTTAAACCCATGAATACAGCCCCCCACTTCACCCCAGTGGACCCTCCCCTAACACTGGGTTCAGAAGCAGGAAACTAAAAAATCCAGGGGTGAAGAAAACACTAGCTATGAATGTACAGGATCACATTTTGAAACCTGAAATAGAGAAACAGCTGTCAAGGTGTGGTGCTATTCCCCAACCTTTGCTATCCGTTGTTTTAGTAACTGAGATTTCAGCTGATTATCCCTTGCTTTTCTTCTCTTTCCTTCAACATAACAAGAATAGTCTATAAACATAACAAGTCTGGTCCTGTGTTAATAAAAACTTAAATTCCCAGTTTTTGTCTTAACTAAGGATCATCCACTCCTGACAATCAACTGAGAAGAGTTAAGACAATATGGGCACCAGGCATGTTCTGAGAAGGACCCTCTGTCCCACTTTGAAGAGTTGCAAATGGGGATGTTTGGTTTTTGACAGAAAGAGACTGGAGCCAAGAGTGTTGTCATGGCAATGGCACAATGGGTATCATTTTGTCTTTCTTGTGATGTACATTTCTGTTGTGAAGTTTGAAGTAAACTGCTCTTATATTTCAAGAGATATATTTGATTCAGTATTTTACTGTTTCAGTGGAACAATTTATGATGTCATTACTTTCCTTATTTGCATAATACGAAAACATAAATACTGTATCTCTAAAACAAAAGCATTTCCAAAAAGGAAAACGCCATTCTTCTTTATTTTGAAAAGCCTTTCAAATAAACAGCAATTATCTTTTTACTTCATTGGCACTTAAAAAGGAATATAGCATTCCTGTAGCAAGGATGCATAGAAGCAGCCTGCAGTCAGCATTTTTTACTGACCAATGCAAAAAGATCATCATCACACTTCCAAAGATTTTCACAGTTTCTGAAGATCACCCAAAGATATAGATTGCTGAAGCTTAGCTGAATATCTTCAAAGAGTTTCCTAAAAAGTTTGCAAATATTTTCAGAAATTTCCAAAGATATTTGGAAGACCAAGGGAACTGCTCAAAGTAATCAATTAATGTATAGTCATAGGCTGTAATTTGGAGTAAATAAGCCCTGAGAAGACTTCCTTATAAAAATGATGTGGGTGCTCATTGTATCAGGTTTAGGGGTTAAAAAAGCGGTTTTGGTATCTCAGTCTTGGGATTTTCAGCCTCAAAAGGTCCATAGCGGGAGCTTTTGCAGTACCTTTTAGGGTATTGAGCCGAAAAAGATATGGCAGGAGATAATGGACTGTAGTAAAAACAAAGACCCCTGAAAGCAAAGACCTAAGACCTAAGACATGTAAAACTGGTGTTTGATTGCATGCTTTATTGCTATTAGAAAGA